ATGCCCAGTTTTCCTTTACCTCCACTTCCTTGAGATTCTACTTCCATAAAATTTCTTCCATCCATTTTTTTCTTGTTTTTTAAAATTTATTTATTTGATTAATTTATATTTAGTTTTAAACAATCACTTCCATATGCTTTTGAGTTTTAAATCTTTCTTCCCCTCTCTCCCCCAAGACAGTGCACAATCTGATATAGGCTCTACATATATATTCCTATTAAACATATTTTCACATTAGTTATGGTGTAAGGAAGAATTAGAACCAATAGGAGGAACCACAAGAAAGAGGAAACAAAACAGAAGGAAAAAATAAGTAAATAGTATGCTTCGATCCGCATTCAAACTCCATAGTTCTTTCTCTGGATGCAGATAGTATTTTCCATCATGACACCTTAGATCCTTGCGTTGCTGAGAAGTGCTAAGTCTATCAAAGTTAGTCATCTTACAATGTCGTCGTTACTGTGTACAATGTTCTAGTTCTGCTCACTTCACTCAGCATCAGTCCATATAAGTCTTTCCAGGTTTTTCTGAAGTCTGCCTGTTCATCATTTCTTATAGCACAATAGTATTCCATTACATTCATATACCACAACTTGTTCAGCCATTTCCCAATTGATGGGCATCCTCTCAATTCCCAATTCTTTGCCACCACAGAGTTGCTATAAAAATTTTTGTACATGTGGGTCCTTTTCCCATTTTTAATGATCTCTTTGGGATACAACCCTAGAAGTGCTATTGCTGGGTCAAAGGGTATGCACATTTTTATAGCCTTTTGGGCATAGTTCCTAATTGCGCTCCAAAATGGTTGGATCATTTCACAACTCCACCAACAATGCATTAGTGTTCCAATTTCCCACATTTATTATTTTTCTGTTTTGTCACACTGGCCAATCTGATAGGTATGATGTGGTACCTCAGAGTTGTTTTGATTTTCATTTCTCTAATCAATAGTGACTTAGAGCATTTTTTCATGTGACTATAGATGGCTTTAATTTCTTCACCTGAAAACTGCCTGTTCATATCCTTTGACCATTTATCAATTGGGGCATGACTTGTATTCTTATAAATTTGACTTAGTTCTCTATATATTTTAGAAATGAGGCTCTTATCAGAGACACTGGTTGTAAAAATCCTTTGTTTTCTGCTTCCCTCCTAATCTTGGCTGCATTGCCTTTGTGCAAAAACTTTTCAATTTGATATAATCAAAGTTATTAATTTTGCATTTTGTAATGTTCTCTATTTCCTGTTTGGTCCTAAGTTCTTCTTTTCTCTGTAAATCTGACAGGTGTACTATTCCTTGCTCTCCCAGTTTGCTTATAGTATCAGCTATATTTAAATCACGAACTCATTTTGATTTTATTTTGGTATATGGTGCAAGATTTTGGTCTATGTCTAGTTTATGCCATACTCTTTTCCAGTTTTCCCAGCAGTTTTTGTCAAATAGAGTTCTCAACCCAGAAGCTGGGGTCATCCATCTCTTTAATAACAGGGCTGCCACCTTTAGAATTTAGGACCTTATTATCTTTCCTGGACTATACTACAATAGCCTCCCTTCTTCTAAATAGTGCCCTTCTGGGAGGCAGAGCCAAGATGGCAGAGTGAAAGCAGTGACTTGCTTGAGCTCTCCCCCAAACACCTATGAAAAATAGCTCTAAACAAATTCTAAAGCAGCAGACCCCACAAAAGGACAGAGTGAACCAAATCTCCAGCCCAGGACTTTCTGGATGATTGATCGGAAAGGTATATTGTGCTGGGTGGAGAGAGGAGTGCAGATCTGCGTGGGTGCGCAGGCTGCAGTAAACCTGGAGCAGGCCTCAGAGGACTGAATTGCAGGCAGCTGTGGTGGCTTCCAAACTTCTCAATCCACAAACACCAAAGACAACTTAAAAGGTCAGTGGGGAAAGTCTGTTTTTGCAGTGACAGAGGAGCTAAGTCAGAGCCAGTTCCAGAGCACGGGTGCCAGGTTGGTGATTGCGTCCTGAGCTTCTGGCCCACAGACCGTGGTGGAATCCAGTGGCTGATCAGAGACAGATTGCAGGGATCTCTGCCAGTGCTGAGGCAGGAATCTCTTGCTTTGTCTGTGCTTGGATCTGGCTCACAGTTCTGGGTGGTGGTCCTGGGGCAAGGAGGAGTGTTGGCATGGTGCAGTTCGCAGTGGCAGTGAAGAGAAAACCTTCCTCACAGTTCCAGGACAGAAAGGAATGCTTGTGGTCACTAACAGACCAGAGCACAGGCCAGAAAAGGAGTAAACACCCCGCCCCTTATCATACCACCTTGCAAGAACTGAAATTTACAGGTCCCCACAAGGATCTCTGAAAACAGCTGCATAAACCCCTGAAGCTTGGGACAGGACATTCTTCATATTGGAAGCAGACTCTTACCTTAACAAAGAGTTTAAAACTCAAGTAATTGGCTGGGATCATGAGCAAGCAGCGCAAAAAGAGTCAGACTATATTATCTTACTTTGGTGACAAAGAAGATCAAAACATACAACCAAAAGAAGACAACAAAGTCAAAGCTCCTACATCCAAAGCCTCCAAGAAAAATATGAATCGGTTCCAGGCCTTGGAAGAGCTCAGAAGGGATTTTGAGAAGCAAGTAAGAGAAGCAGAAGAAAAACTGAGAAGAGAAACGAGAGTGATGCAAGAAAATCATGAAAAACAAGTCAACAGCTTGCTAAAGGAGACCCAAAAAAATACTGAAGAAAATAACACCTGAAAAAATAGCCTAACCCAAACGGCAAAAGAGGTCCAAAAAGCCAATGAGGAGAAGAATGCCCTAAAAAGAAAAGTTGGCCAAATGGAAAAGGAAGTCCAAAAGATTACTGAAGAAAATAGTTCCTTAAAAATTGGAATAGAGCAACCGGAAGCTAGTGACTTTATGAGAAATCAAGACACTGTAAAACAAATCCAAAAGAATGAAAAATTAGAAAACAATGTGAAATATCTTATTGGAAAAACAGCTGACCTGGAAATTAGATCCAGGAGAGAATTTAAAAATTATTGGACCACCTGAAAGCCATGATCAAAAAAAGAGCCTAGACATCATCTTTCAAGAAATTATCAAGGAAAACTGCCCTGATATTTTAGAACCAGAGGGCAAAATAAAAATTGAAAGAATCCACAGATCTCCTCCTGAAAGAGATCCCCAAAGGAAAACTCCTAGGAATATTGTAGCCAAATTCCAGAGTTCCCAGGTCAAGGAGAAAATATTACAAGCTGTCAGAAAGAAACAATTCAAGTATTGTGGAAACACAATCAGGATAACACAAGATTTAGCAGCTTCTACATTAAAGGATCGCAGGGCATAGAATATAATATTCTGGAGGGCAAAGGAGATAGGATTACAACCAAGAATCACCTACCCAGCAAAACTGAGTATAATCCTTCAGGGAAAAAAATGGTCATTCAGTGAAATAGAGGACTTTCAAGCATTTTTGATGAAAAGACCAGAGCTGAATAGAAAATCTGACTTTCAAACATAAGACTCAAGTGGAACATGAAGAGGTAAACAGGAAAGAGAAATCATAAGAGACTTATTAAGGTTGAACTTATTTACATTCCTGCATGGAAAGATGCTATTTATAACTCATGAGACCTTTGTCAGTATTAGGGGAGTTGGAGGAAAAAAATTGTATGTATGTATATATAGATAGATAGATGGACAGAGGGCACAGGGTGAGTTGAAGATTAAGGGGTCATATGAGGAAGAACAGGGTTAAATTATCTCATAAAAAACCCAGAAAAGGCTCTTACAGTAGAGGGGAAACAGGGGAAGGTGAGTGGTAATGAGTGAATCTTATTCTCATAGGATTTGGGAATTACATACACATTCAATTGAGAATGGAAATCTGTCTTATCCTATAGGAAAATAGGGGGAGAAGGGGACGAGAGCAGGGGGCTGATAGGGAGGAGGGCAGATTGGGAAAGGGGGTAATGAGAAGCAAATACTTCTGAGGAGGGACAGGGTCAAAAGAAAGAATAGAATAAATGGGGGAGGGCAGGACAGGATTAAGGGAAATAGAGTTAGTTTTTCACAACATGTCTACTATGGTGGTGTTATGTATAACCTATATTGAGTTGCTTGCCTTTTCAATGACGGTGGATGGGGAGGGAGGAAGGGAGAAAATTTGTAACCAAAGTTTAAAAAACACATGTTTAAAAAAAATGTTTTCACATTCAACTGGGAAATAAGAAATACAGGAAATGGGGTACAGAAGTCTATCCTGCCCTACAGGAAAATAGAAGGGGGCGAGAGATAGAAGAGAGGGCAGACTAGGGGAAGGGGTATTCAAAATGCATGCTATCTTGGGGTGGGGGGAGGGGTGAGATGGGGTGAAAATTTGGAACTCAAAATCTTGTGGAAGTAAATGTTGAAAACTAAAAATAAATTTATATAAAATAAAAGTACAAAAAAAAATAAATAGTACCCTTTCCAGCTTCCTTCTCAGAGTTGCTTAAATAATTTTCCTAAGATACAAGTCTGATTATATCACTCAAAAAACAATATTTCAAAGATAAAATAAGTTCTTCAGTATGACCAACCTGGAGTTCTCTCCATATTCACCTTTATCACAAATTATTGCCTTTTGTGCACTTTACATTGCAAGCCAAATGAAACTAGCTTTTCTAGAATCTGATATTCCTTCTCCTACCTGCCACTTTGTATAGGTTTTCCCCTCCTACCTTGAAATGAATTCCTTCTTCAAGGCTAAGCTCAAGTGTCATCTTCTTTGATACATACCCTTAGTTATTAGTTTTTTTTTTTCAAATTATGCTCTATTAATCTATACATGTTATATTTTACCAATAAACCTTGGGCTCCTTGTCCACAGGAGAGCTAGAATCTGCCTCGGAGACCAACTGAACAATTATGAGGAAGTCTTAAAGCAGTGACAGTGGCTGATGAGGTAAGCAAATTAAGTAAAGTACATAACCATGTTGTATTTAAACAGAATCTTTTCTTTAAAGACGGTTTTCATTTATCATACAGAAGGGAGGTAACGTGGCTTTAAAGGTTTATTTCTGAAATATTTTTAAATCAGTATACATTACATTAAATACAATATTCTGTTAAAAATTATCAAATTAATGGAACGGTATAAGTTTCAATGCTATGACAGACAAGTTATTGACAGGGAGGCATCTGGCTCTTCTGACTTTCTTTTACACTTTGTCCAAGCTCCAAGTGGATTCAGATATTCAGGTTCTTCTGAGCTACTTTTGTCCAAGTAAGGATAGCTTAGGAGAAAACAAACCAGCAATCTATTAGTCATTTTAAATTCTTAGTTTCATCATTAAAACAATGAGTAGAAAGAATGTTCAAGGGAACATGAAATTTATCTTCTCTTCTACCCCCAATCTCACTATAAATTATACACTAGTGTTTTCACTGCTGTTCATTTAGAGAACATATAGCATGGTACTTATAGTCATAAAAAGAAATGAGCCTTTATTAAGTATATACTAGGTTTGAAGCCCCTATGTTAAACACTTTTACAAATACCTCCTTTGATTTTCACAACTTTGAGAGAAAGGTCCTATTATCACCCCCATTTTACAGTTGAGAAAACCAAGGCAGAGAGTGGTTACTTAGGTGACTTTTCCAGAGTCACACTGCTAGTAAATGTCTGAGGCCCAGTCTGAAACTCAAATCTTCTTGATTCCAGGCCTAGTACTCTAACCAATGTGCATTTAGCTAAAAATGTTAATAAAAATTCAAGGTGAAAATGTATAAATCTGTACAGTGTGAAAATATACTTTTCTTCATTCATCTTGAATTTAATTTTTAATATTATTAAAAGAAAATGAAGACTATTTACACAGGAAAAAGTATGACTCAATGTCTGAGTACGAATAATTAGTCTAAGTCACTGTTCATCACTGATCAAGCTTGTTAGTGCCTCAAGTCATATTTTAGAAAGGCCAAGTCTAGGCAAAATTCTTAGCAAGTAAGCACTCAAGACAAGGTGGAACCCTGCAGCAGACAGCAGTCATTCAGAAATTTAAGCTTTAGTGGTACCATTATCTTGCAATGTGGCCTTCAGGAAGAAACAACTTTCTCAGGGATGAATTTGCTTAGAAGTAAAATAAAGAGAGCAGAATGGCAAGCTTGGTAAAGTCAGAAACACAAGTACTTCACAAATAGAATCAATGAAATAGAATTCTGCCTAGCAGAGGAAATAAAGAGTAAATAAAATAGTTTATCTCAGCGTACAAATGACTTCAAATTACAGAATTTGTTACTATCAATATAACTATGTAGTTTCTTTCAGTCAACTCAGTTGAACAAGTCCTTAAAAAAGTGTGGCAGGGTGATAAATAAGTTATAAAATTACCTGCAGCATAAAACTTTACCTGTTTTATAAACTGCGAAGCATTGAAAAGCTCACTGCAGCCATATAAGACATGTTTACCTTGTTTGCCCTATGAAAAAGAGAATAAGGAATCAAGGAGAGCTCAGATAATGTGAATAACACACTTGCCAAGAGGTATTTTATACTACTGCCTTTTGAAATAAAGAAAAGGAATTTAATTCTTAGATGCACATGTTTATTCCTAAAATTGGATGTAATTTAGGAATTTTCATTAAAATTACCTAGTTTAAATCTCTCATTTGATAGATGATGAAACTCAGGCTCATAGAAGGTAAATGTCTCACCTAAGTTTAGGAAATTTAATGGTAAAATCTAAAACCAAGGCCTTCTGATTTCTAGTCTGAGGTCTCTGTTCTTTTACTGTTGCTTCCCAATCAAAGAACACCCAATGATAAAGCAAATTCAGTATTTTTTCCCAGAGGGAAAATTGTATTTAATTTTATTTGGGCATACGATTAGTTTATCTCATTACTAACTCACACATTATGCTAAAATTTGGGAATTACCATTCTTCACAGCTACAATAACTCATCTACAATTTTTAGATCAACATATAAAAGTAGATATTTATTTGAAAAAATATTTATTTGAAGTTTTGGGATCTAATTGTGTCCAAATGTAGAATTTACATGTTAAATCATCAATGATACCTTTTCTTAGTCTTTGCATTCAGAAAATATTTTTGGTGATTTCACTAATGACCTTTGTGAGAACTCAGATGTTCCATTACAAAATTCAAAACTTTCCTTTGGATCTTTTATGGAAGTGTTCTGATAATTTCTTAAGCATGGTTTGAAAGATCATGAGCAATTAGGACTCTTTAGACTGGAAAATATTTATTGTAGTGTTCGTCATCAAAATGAGATTACTGATGAGAGATATGGTTCTCTGGAAGATTTATAAAGCACTTTACAAATGTTTTCTTATTTTATCCTCATAACCTTGGGAGGGAGCACTATTATTATCCCCATTTTACAGATGAGGAAACTGAGAGATTGATTATGAGACTTTCCCAGGATCACAGAGCTGGAAAGTGTCTGATAACACATTTGAATTTGGGTCTTCCTAACTCCAAGTCTAACATGCTAGCTATTCCTAGCTCTGTTATCAACATGCTCAATGACATTACACAATTATCGCTTAACCTCTTTGGGGGCTCAGTTTCTTCACCTGAAAAATGTAGAGCTTAGAGCAGTGTATCTCTAAGGATGCTTCCAGCTCTAACATTCTACGTTCCAGTTCATCTAGAAGTAGGTAATAAAATGATGGCTTACAATATAACACAAAGGACAGTAGTACTTTTACTTCCATGGAAGATCATGAAAAATCTACAATACACAGACTGCATATCAGAACTGCACTAACTCTGTCTAAAAAGATGTAGTACATATGATTATAGATTATTTTCTGCATTATGTGGTGTGTACTTAAAGAATATAATCCAGTCTTGAGAGAAGCTTTGCACAAATCAGATTTGCTTAAAGTCAATTAGGTAAATAAACGCATCCATATAAGCACATCAATAAAGCTGAGGAAAAATTCTCGTTACTCATATATTCCAGAAGCATTAATTTTTCCAGGCTACTGAAGTTCCATTATGGCTTCAGCACACCAAACTAAAATTTGGCAGTGTTACCTCCCACAAACTTTTTTTTTTATTGTCTATTTCAATTATGATAGCTACTTGAATAAGCTCAATGTTATTACACAGATTTTGCTACTTGGAGGTTGGTAATTCTTACCTAAGACTGATTCACCAAGAGATTCAAAGTTTTTGAGGAATTAAGAAGTAGGTAGAGGAGGGTGTCTCAGAGACCTAAGCTATAGCACTCTCTAAAAAGCTGTTCAATTAGAGATATAAAGACAAGCCATTTGTGAATTACCTATTACAGCTGTCTTTTGTATCGTTGCCTGTCCCTTTTCCTGCTACCTCTCTCTTCCTGACTATTCTTGAATGGGTACAATGTGTTAGTATCCCTCACTCTAATTTTTTTAGGCGGGAAGGGAGTATCTTATAAGAATGATATTTGGTGATAAAGGGACCTTTGGGGATTGCGGGATTTTTAAAAGCCTGAGAACTTATTCAATACTATGAAATGACTAAATTAAAAAAATGACTAAAATGTACCTTTATGTAGTCAACAAGATTTTGATATTCAATGTAGTTGCCTCCTCCTACTACAAAAACAATTGCCTGAAATGTAAACATAAAAACAAAAAGTTAAGAATGCATGTATTGAAAGCAGGGTTATGAAACAAAACCTTAACATATAGGCTATACTAAAATTGAGGTCAGTTAACATGATGCCAAATAGGAATGCTAATACAAGGGATACCTATTAATATAAGAATGTATCTAGTGGCATTTACTGATCAAATGGACTTTGACTATAATTTCTTGTAAGAAATAATGAGGTTTGAATTTTTAGAAACTAAAGAAAAAAATGATTATAGGCTGCAATTAGCTAACAGCAAATAATGAATTCTCTATACTAAAGCCCTATTATGAAGCCTTATCATTGTGTGGAGGTGACTAGAAGCTAGAAAGGATTTAAGTGTAGGCCTGGTGGTGGACCATAAGTGTGCTATCTTAGGACGAAATCAGCCATCATCAAGGTGCTATCAACTCACAAAGATCACTCACTAAAGGTATGGAAGGCAGTGCTTAGAGAATAAATATCTATAACCAACAAAACCTGTTTTACTGAAGTAAATAATAAACTTACATTCACATTTCTAAATTTTTTTTAAGAATGCACTTTAAAATGTAAACCTGTTTCTCAGGTAGAGAAAAAAGAAACTAGTTTACTACAATGTATTTGTTTTACAAAAAAAAGTAATTAAAATCTCTTTACAAATGTTTAGAAGCCAATTTTATAAAAAGGCTTCTCTTCACCCGCTCCCCCTTTATAAAACTCCTACAAAAATAATCTTAAGAACTTTGTTTTCTAATGTTTTCACTAATGCCATTAGCAATATTCAAATTTATAACACTGAGAATGATTGTAAATAAAATATACAACAAAATGTAATTACATTAACAAGTCTTATGACAGATCTGAGCACTGATCAAATCCTTTTACTTCTACTATTCTTTTTTTTTTTCCTAAGTGAGAGACTTACCTCCTGGAATGGATTTTTGTTTCTTGGAACTGAGCTGGAAAAAAAAAAAGACAGCAACGTAAATCCTACTTGTGGTTTTTAGAATTGACAAAACAAACACTTAATAAATGTTTATTGATTGAATCCATGTTTTACTTTCCTTTTACTGTATAGTCTGGAAATATGTAGCTCAGACAGAACCTGGGTTTGTTCCTCAGGGATACCTTAACATATTATGAAAGTTTTAAAAAATATCACGTTCTTTTTGTTATAGCAAAGAACTGGAAACAAAGTATATTCTATCAACTGGGGAACAGCTAACATATGAATGAATGAAAAAACATGTATTAAATGCTTACTACATGCCAAGCATTGTGCTAAATACTGTGAATACAAATACAAAAAAGAGAGTCTCTATACATTCCAATGGGTGAAGTCAACATGTGTAGGTGGAGGAGTAGCGGTCATAAAAGTCTTTGATGACTTATCTTATGTCACTGCTAGCACAAAAATCATTATTAAGTATTATACTGCAGTTTAATTATACCCACCATGTTTTTCCGCTCTGTTGGGTAACCCACAGTGCTAAGTCTTCTGATTCATAGCCTGTGATTCAGGCTATAAAATGAACTTTTATCTTTATCCTCTGGTTTTAATATGCCACTTGCTTTTAGCCCTTAATTAATATCTCCTTTAATCCTCACAACAATACTGGGAGACAGGTGCTACTACTATCATTTTACAGTTGAGAAAACTAAGGGTTAAGTGCCTTCCTGCCAAGGTCACACAGCTACTAAGTGTCTGAGGTCTATTCTGAACTCATAGCTTTCTGACTCCAAGTCCAGCACTCCATCTACAGCTCTTTGTACGAACAAGTGTCCCATAAAAGGATGCTCAGTGCATGTGAGCACATGATGAATCAATCCCATCTACTCCTTTATTCACCTCTCTGCGAATACAGGAATTGTTTTTTCATTCAGCAACCAATATGTCTTCTGGTTTCCTTTATTATGAGACTGAGTATGGATGTGGTTTTTCTGGTGATATTCCAAGGCTGTATCGAACACAATGAGCTAAGAATCAAAATTATAGGTGGAATGTAAATGTTAAGTAGAAATGCCATAAGGAGTATAATCAAAGAAAAGGAGGTGGCTCAGTGTGAAGGACACCAGAATGACAGCCTGAAGGTTTCACTAGTATCCTAGAAAAATTAAAAGATGCAAAGGCAAGCTTTTTATGAAAAGAAATGGATGGTCTTTGACCTAAACTGAGAGAGGGAATATCTATAATGATGAAAATATAATTCCACTACAGTATTAAAAATAAAGTAAAACGATTTTTAAAAGAATCTTGAAAAATTCAGATGTTTATGTCAAATGAAGCTTACCTGTCACTGCCCCGTAGCATTTTGGGATCAAAATATCTGTAGTCGTCAGTCTCCTGTTAATAAGACAGAACTTTATTAAAGGAATACATCAAATGGATAAAGTATACATATTCTTATAAAGACAAGTCTACAGTTTCCATCTGTAATTGCTAAACAAAGTATTTCTAATTAAAAAAGAAAAGCCTTCTTCAAAGAGTATTTGAAATTGACACTACAACAGTAAGAAGCAATGTGTTGTGGGGGCCAGAGCATTGAAGGAGAAGTGATGTAGGACAGACACTATTCCCAGAATGACTTTGAGAATGTCACTATCTTGTTTGACTTCAACTTCCTCATCTAAAAAGGAAGGGAGGGACAATCATCTCATAGCTTCATGACCACAGACTTAAGAGGCCACCTAGTCTGGTCCCCTTATCTTACAGATGAGGAAACAGACACAGTGACTCATCCAAGTCACACAGCAATTAAGTAGCAGCTGGATTTGAACTCAGGGTTTGTGATGACAAGTTCACTACTTTTTCCAAGGCACCACCCTTCTCTAAGGTTCTAATCAATTCTAAAATTTTACTATGATTTTAATAAAAATTTTTGATTTGTTACCATTATAGAAACAAAATTCAATTTGAGTTTTCCAATGTCAAATGATTAAATTCTTACATCTACATAAAATATTTACTCCATGAAAAGTGTATCAAATGTTTTCACCAATATTTCAATCTATCAACAAAATGTTTATTTGTTTGAACTATGAATTCTATAAGAGAAAATTTTATTTCAATACTCATGTTCCATTTGGATGAGGACGTTACTCAATACTAAATTTCTTTTCCCTCTTAAAAGAGAATTGCACATATGTCAAATTAGTTCACGTTTACAGAATGCTTCACCTGTAAATTATAGTATTTTCCCCTGATTCCTCTCAGCCCTAGATTTAGTTACAAGAGTTCACTGGCACTCCCCACATCCAAACACTTCCTATATTGTACCTCTGTTTTCCCCCAATTTCCCCAAGTTCAGTGTTGTCAACAAAGCTCAAGTTGACTTCATAATGAACCCCCCTTGTCACTGAGATTATAGGGGGCTTACCTAAGCTATGGGCTTGACAGTAGTGACTGTAGTCTGCCCCAGTAACTCCATGGGGCACAAGGTCAAACGATGGCATGAGAAATCGAAAAGTCAGAGTAGAATGACACTTAAAGATAAAGTAATTCTTAGCCCTCTTAAAAATAAAAAAATAAAAATACCTGTAAAAACAGGTAAGGGAAGTGAGACCCCAGCCTGAGCTAGGATTACAACACAAGTCTCTTGATTTCTAGTCCAAAGCTCTTTCCACTGCAGGATAGAGTCCTTCTCTCCACTTCCTCTGGAGAATTTTTCTCAGGGATATCAAGAAAATGCTGTGTAGTCTCCTCCCAGTAGAGACTGTGAACACATTAAGGATGAGGGTACTGCTTTTGCCTGGGTCTGGGCATACAAGGCACGCTTACCAAATACTCGCTGAACTACACAAGACTGAATTTATTGGCAGGAAAACTGTAGCTATGAGAGAGTAAGTACACTTATAAATGAGGGAAGGACGGTACAAGATAATCTTCCATGTTCTGTTCAGTTCTAATATTCTATATTAGTATGATATCTAAGCTCCAGCTAATGTTGAGCTGTGTTTAATGTGGAATACTGTGGTAAAACCAAAGGGTCTGGATTGTCCCTTAGAGTTTATCATAACAAGATGTGACCCATAATCTAATTGAAAAGAGAAAAAGGACGAAAATCAGTAACCCCCCCCCCAATTAGGCAGTTGAGATTACATGACTTGCCCAAGGTCACACAGCTAGTAAGTGTCAAGTGTCTGAGGCTGGATTTGAACTCAGGTCCTCCTGACTCCAAGGCCAGAGCACTATCCACTGTGCCACCTAGCTGCCCCTAAAAAATTCCTGAAGTACAGGGGGGCAAGCAGTATCATTATCTCACAAAAAGATATCCAAAAAACCTCATACAATTTTGTCTTTTGGAACAGCCAACCAAACAAAATAGTGAATTTTCATCAGCTCTTCCAACATTTCTTATCACAATAATACACTGTATGGTCATTAGGACACCTTTAATAAAAATGAAAAACAGGACCATACTTCCTTAAAGATTCTAATAATTGCTGCCTGCTTTCTTTCAATACTATCCTGATTTCTAATTGGCATGGCATTAAGACATAACTGAATTTCATGCTTTATCATCAAACAGAAATCATAGTAACTCTTCCTATAAGGCAAACAAAAATTAATACTGCTATCTACATTTATGTAGAATTTTATAGGATCCTCCTCTACATTAATTACAGCATTTGATACTTAAAACAACTCTGTGAGGTAGGAAAGTCATGGAACATCCTATTTTAAAAACAGGAAAACAGCCTCTTTATGTCTTCAGCTCTACTAGCAAAAACAGGATGTGTAGCAACTAAGGTGTGATTGAAGCAAGTATCTGTCAATTTTGCTAGTTGTTTACTAATGTCTGGTGGTTACAAGGATGTGGCGATTTTCTGTGCATATAAAGTAATGAGCCTGACTTTGGAATAATCATTACTAGGATTTATGTATCCAAGTGAGTGAATACTTTGGTGGGAAGTGGAGGCTATACACTTATTACGAAGATCCTGCCATTACTCAAAATATTTTTGTTACAGACTCTCTAGTGGTAAAAAATGTTCTCAGAAAAAAGGCACCATCAAAATAAATGTATATTTTATTCTGGGGATGATTTTATACGGGGACTATTTTGAAAAGAACATCTGGCTCTGCCATAACCAGATGTGTGACCCTGTGTGGGTCATGTCATGTCTCTGGTCCTTACTTTCTATAATTATAAAATGAGATAATGGGCCCAGATGGTCCTGCAGGTCATCTTCCAGCCCTGATATCCTAGGGTCTATGAGGTCATTCATGTTGTGGTTTAAAAAAAAAAGGCAATGTTAAAATCAAAGTGTATAGACTGCAAGGACAGCATCATGAAGGGGGCATGTCCTCAATTTGGAATAAGAGGACCTTGGCTCAAATCCCAGGTTTTTCACAGTCTGACCAACAGGAGGTCACATGATCCCTTGTCTTGAGCATCCTCATCTAAAAACAAGGAGGATGTTATAAGGACCTTTCCAGCTCTAATTCTACACTCTCATGAAAAGCAGGTGAATATGCAGTACTAGATAAATAAACTTTGCTTACTTTTCCAAGACCTATTCTGATTCAGAATAAACAACAAGCTGTTAAGTGTCTACCTACTATATGTTAGACACTAGGGATATGGAGTCAAAATTATAAAAAGCCTCTGCTGTCAAGAAGATTACATTCTGTCAGGGGAAATAACATCTACACATAAGTAAATACAAAATAATTGGAAGGAGGCATAAATAAAGACAATACAGATGGTGGAGGTGAGGAGTGAGCGCATTCCAGGCATGTGGCAAAGCCTGTGAAAAGGCAGTATGTGCAGAACACCAGAACAGCAAGTGTACCAGTCTGGGAGGCAGGTGGAGCCTATGAAGGAAATAATGTGTAAAAAGCCTAGCAAGGCAGGGTGGAGCTAGTCCGACAGAATCTGTTTTATCCTAGAAGCAATATACAGCTTCAAGAGCAGAGGAGCCAATTGCAGAATGTCACCCCCTGATTGTGTCAGGAGTCAGATATCACTACATCCATGTAACTTATTTTAAAAGACTTTCTATTGCATACCTAGTTTTTCTAAGTCTCTTTGCTAAATGTTTTGCTTTAAGGCCAATTATCTAATGCTATCACTTCTTTTCGATAATGTGTGCTGGCAAAGAAGGTAAGTAATGCAGTTAAAAGGGAGGAACAATATATAGACAGTCCAAGTGATTCAATGCAAAGATGCCCAAGAAAGATGATCTGGGAAGACCTCCAGCATGCTGGACGAATCATCTAGGAAGGACATGAAGGCACAGATGGATTGCAATCTGTACCCTTAGGAATAACATTACTGATCTAGAAAAGTATAATATTAGATGCAGTTTGATTTTTTCACAAATGTGTAATTATGCCGTTATACAGCACTCACAGGATTTGACTTCATCTCCATGAGACTGTCCAAAACACGAGTAACTGGTAGATTCTGTGGAAGACAAAAAGGATTTTGTTAAATCACTGAGAGAAAAAAAAATCACAAAACATGATGATTATGTTACCCTAAGTTCATTCCATAAGACCTTTTGGGTGCAGACATGGTAAGTGATCACAACAAGTTAATATGCATCTAGATCACTGAAAAATTAACATTTGCTTTTCACCTAAATATATTCCAAGTTATACTATTCAGTTTCACACGAACAAAAATAACACAACAAAAACAAAACACCACCATCAAAATTTCAAATAAAAGGCTCTCTTTAGTGCTTAACTATTCAGGATTAAGCCAGTAACGTATTTCTAAATTAGAAGCTTGAAAGTATCTCTCTTTTGGTTAAATGTAAGGACCATACTGTACAATTTTAATGCTATGATGCTTTTAAAATTGTTCTCACTATACCATAATACAGGATTTTTATTAAGTCACTATTGCAGACATTTAAAATTCATTCCCTACTGAGGTGGTATTTTTCTCTGCTTTGAACCGGCATTTCCTTTGGGTGAACTGTACAGGATGTTCTGGAAGTAAGTTTACCATCTTTGAGATTTTCTACAACAAAATCTGAACTCAGAAGAACTGAGTAGACAACAAACATAACAATCTGAGTCAGAGGCCTTTTAGTTTTCTTATGTCATAAAACATTTTGCTTTTACTGAAATGGAATTCCAATGAAGAAATGATGCTTTGTCCAGATAGAGAATGTGTGTTTTCTTTCTCAAGATCAGTAAATAAAAAAACTTCTGAGATCATCCCAGGCAAACAGAACTATCTGGTTACTTGCTGATATTTTTATTGGCTAGGAACTTGGTAAATAAACATGGGCATCAAATCTTCAAGCTGACTGAATGTATTTTCATAACTGCAATTTCTTTGTTCGTTTATATGTTTTTGCTAGGCAATGGGGTTAAGTGACTCGCTCAGGGTCACACAGCTAGTAAGTGTTATGTGTCTGAGGCCGGATTTGAATGCAGGTCCTCCTGAATCCAGGGCCAGTACTCTATCCACTGCACCACCTAGCTGCTCCTATAACTGTGATTTCTAAAGCACACCATTCTATATCATATATTTTAATGATTTAGCGTCTGTTTCTACATTGTAAAATTCCCAAGACCATTTTAGGTGAACGTTCTGAAACATTTCCTAGTTAAGATATATTCCATTAATAGCTACCATATTAAGAGGAGGTATAACTTAAATGGAATATGCTGTACATAGAGGAAGAACAAGATAATTTGATGTTAATACTTCAGATGTCATTAACACCTATGCAATATCGAACTGGAATTGTGAAATTAACAGTGACTAAGCAGAAGTGCCATGGTTGTGTATGTGTGTGCCCATAATCTTTCCTTTCATGAAAAGACATATATCTTTTGTGGTACATCAGAATCACTAGATAATAGTTAATCTTGTTACAATGAGGAAGGTCACTGATCTTAATAATCAAGCTGGGTCTGTTATTTATGCCTTTCTTCTGATGATATGAACAATGAAAACCTGACTATAAAACATAAACAGTATACTTTGCTACTTTCTAGTTGCCTGAAATGTACCTTATTGCCTGGCACACTATGTAACTGTTGGCAGACAAAGAATATGATTTAATAATCCCTAGATGTAATTGTGCCAGTGCTTACTATAAACTTAAAATACCAAAAATTTGCAGGCATATGTTTCTTTTAAGGAGTTGTGTATAATGTGATCATTATAAAATACATTTAAAACTACATTGTATAAACTACAATTTTCTCATAACGTGTTTTTCTGGTGAGGCAATTGGGGTTCAGTGACTTGCCCAGGGTCACACAGCTAGTGAGTGTTATGTGTCTGAGGCTGGATTTGAATTTACGTCCTCCTGACTCCAAGGCTGGATCTCTATCCACTGCGCCACCTAGCTGCCCTTCTCATAACCTTTTTATGAGGTATGTGGTAGTTATGCCACTTAAAAATAAAATGAACTAGCTCAACTGAATACCAAAAAACCAACAGAATTCTAGGATTCCAATTTGATATCTAATTATACAGTGTACGATGTGTCTTACAGATTTCTTTCTTCCTTCCTTCCTTCCTTCCTTCTTTCTTCTTTCTTTCTTTCTTTCTTTCTTTCTTTCTTTCTTTCTTTCTTTCTTTCTTTCTTTCTTTCTTTCTTTCTTTCTTTCTTTCTTTCTTTTTTAACCAAGAATTGTAGTAGGGACAGTGAGACAGTATAAATAAGAATGATCCTTGCCCAAGTGGAACCTAACAGTCTAGCTGAGTGTAAGACATTGATAATTATTATATATATGGGATATATCCTTTTCACTAATTTTTATTCCACTAACACACACACATTTTTTTTTAGGCAATTGGGGTTAAGTGACTTGCCGAGGGTCACGTTGCTAGTAAGCGCCAAGCATTTGGTCTGAGGCTGGATTTGAACTCAGGCCCTCCTGACTCAAGGGCCAGTGCTCTACCCACTGCACCACCTGGCTGCCCCCTCACTAACATATATTTTTAAAGAAAGAGAAGAAATTCTGTTTCTTTGTAGGGTTTCAAGGGTACCTGTGAATAGGATAAGGCAACATTACAATCCTGACCACATGTTAAGAGCAACTTCCTTAAAGGCTTGTAACATAAAATTCAATAGCTACATGGGATGATACTAGCCTGATGTCTTCATATCTCTATTTGGGAAATTTTATATTTCATTATATTAATTATCTTTCATGCAAAAACAATTTCTTCAAGATAAAAGGAGATCCCAGATTGTGAAAAGCAGATCTTAAGATCACTGCAAAGTTCGCATACCTATTTTTGAATATATTTCAACAGTCTATTGCAGTTAAGTAACAAAATGTACAAAATCAAAACATCATTTCAGTACTTAAATGGAAAAAGGGAAAGCACATTTTACTACTGGTGTTCCAAGAACAAAAAGGTTCTAAATAAAAATTAGTTTAATGACCTAACATTAGTCTTCATGGAAATTTCTTTGATAAGCAACTGACTGAAGTGTCACCACACTATATTAGAAAACATGAATAAAAGGGATGGAACTAGAAGTATTTGCTGTACTATAATAGGGATAAAATAAGGACTGAAAGAATTCTAGAGACACTGATTACTGGAGCAGGTAAGTGCAGGGAGAAATCTTCAGTGTAATTGTCCATTGTCAGGTAGTTTCAAGAGTCTACTGAAACTTCAAAATCCTGACTTACCAATTTCCCATGCAAATTCTGACATTGATTTTAATATCAAATAAACAACAAAAATAAGGGTTTACCAGATATTTTCAGAAGTAATAATTCTGGTATACTTTTCTTCCCCTAAAGGATGACAAAATTTGTAAGTATTTAACTATTTCACGTATTTTAAGAAATACATGAAATTGCCCTTTACCAACCATTGACTAGCTATGACTAAAGGCTACTTACTAGTCTAGCAATAAGGGTCACTTGGGTATTTAGTATGAAAAAATACATATTTAGTACAAGAGTGAAGTAAAAATAATTTAATAACCCCAAAGAATTTATATGCCCTTAAAAGAACCCACAGACATTTAAAGCAAATTCTTTTTTTGGTTTAATATCACCTGTAATTTCTAATATATCTCTTTCATTAAGACACTTAAAAAAAAATTTAGCAACATAAACAATATATCAAAAATGGTCAGCATTATATGCCCTACTGAATCAAACAATAAATCAATTAATTACTTATTGAGCACCTACTACATGCCTGATATTGTGCTTGCCACTGTAAAATACTACAAATGAAATACCATAAATGAAACAGTCCCTACTTGCAAGCAGCTTACATTTGACTGGATGAAATCACATATAAAAGCATATAGAAAATAAATACAAAGAGAACAAGTAGTATTAAATACAAGGTAGCTTGAGAGGAACAGCACTAGCAGTTGAGGTGATCTGGAAAGGCTTAATGTCCAAGGTTATCCTTAAACTGCATCTTCAAAGAAGTGAGGGATTCCATAAAGTGGAAGTAAGCATAAGTGCTATCCAGCCATTGGGGATGGTGACTGCAAAGGCAAGGGATGAGAATGTCATTTGTAGGAAAGAGGGGGAGAAAAAGCCAGTTTGGTTAGGTCAGAGTGGGAGGGGAAGAGGAATAACATAATGAAGGTAAAAAGAGAGGTTGGGGCAAAGCTGTAAAGGGCTTTGTGAACAGAAGCCTGTATCTGGAGGCAGCCACTGAAGTTGGCTGAGTAGGAGAATGATTTTGTCAGATATCTCTATATTGAAGGAAAATCACTTTGGCAACAGTGTAGATGATGGTCTGAATTGGGGAAAGACTTGAAGAAGGAGAGATCAATTAGAAGGCCAACACAATAATCTATGTAAGAGATCATGAGGGCCTGAATTAAAGTGGTGGCTGCGAATGGAGAATACTGGGCCTAAAGGATGTTGAGGAGCTAGAAATGACAAGATTTGGCAACTGATTAGAGACGAGGATTAAGCGAAAGTGAGGAGTCAAGGATAGTATCTTGTATGCTCTTGGATGACTGGAAGGATGGTGATGCCTTCAACATTAATAGGGAAATTTAGAAGAGGGGAAGGTTTGGGAAGAAAGATGTTGGGTTCTGTTTTGGACATTCTAACTTGAGATGGCTGTGGGACATCCAGTTTAGAATGTCCTATAGGAAATTGTTGAAAATAATAGTATCGTGAAAGCCTGCAGGGGAGAAAGTATCCAGAAGAATGTTGCCAACAGTATCAAAAGTAGCAGAAAGAGAACTGAAAGAAGGAACATTAAATACGGCAATTAGGAGAACATTGATAACTTTGGGGAGAATGGTTTTAGTGGAGTTAAGAAGCAAGAAATCAGTATGCAAAGATTTAAGGAGTCATTGAGAGGAAAGAAAGTGAAGAAAGTGATTGTAGCCAGCTTTTTATGGGAATCTGATAGAGAAAGGAAAGATACAGAATGATGGTTTAAGGGGATGGCAAGGGCTAGTAAAGTATTTTTTCTTTTTTTAAAAAACAGGG